AACTGGGGCTGAAGGTTTGGTAATGTTTTTAATTTTGTTCCACATTTCTGATAATGTTGTAGTTCTATTGATACCTTGTAGGAATTGTTCCCAATATGTGTTCTTAACTTGACCCTTAAGCTCGCGAAAATCTCTGTTGGCATTAAGGAATGCAAGTAAATTGTCAGCTGTTTTGTCTCGTTTATAAGAGTCAGCAAGCTGAAGCACTTTAGCTCGCTCTGCAATAATAATAGGATCCTCTGTCCATGAGGAAGAACGAGTGTTCTTTTTTTTCTTTGATTTAACCCAGGTATCATAATAACTGGTAATGATACTGACAAGATCATTGTAAAAGTGGTCCACTGATACAGGTGTATACCCAGTGTACCACTTATGTACATAAGCCTTAAAGTGCTGTTTAAGATTGTCTGGAATGTTAATTTTAACTCTAGGATGAGGATTGGACTTAATATCCGCCACATTGTATTCACAATATATTGCAAAATGATCACTTACTAGTTCTGGGATGAGCTTAACGTTGACGTTGCTATCTACTAGGCTGTATCCAATCACATAATCCAGTCTACCCCCCAATAAATGGGTCTGTTTATCAGTATCATACACAATAATATTATGATCATTAAGATATTTCAAGAAGACCCTTCCATTATTGTTACACTGAACGTCACCAAGAGCAGTGTGACGAGCATTAAAGTCACCCATACATAACATAGCTGTGTTACCTGTAGGTTTCGGTAGCAGGTCTGCTTTAAGTACATTACATCGTCCATATATGTTATACAGTAGGAAATGGCTATTTGCAGTTTGCAATTTGAATTTTTGATAATGTATACTATCACTCCTATGATTTTTAATTAGTTTACAGATTAATCCACTCTTAATATACGTTAGTAAACCAGTTCCAATACTGTTGTTGTATGCTATATACCCAGGCGTCTTGGAACGCCAGTTGATTTCACTCATTAATATATATCACGTGAGTGCGGTTTCTCTGTGTACATAGAGAAACATTTAGAGCATTAGGCCTATACACTTCATAAGAAACAAAATGGTTAAGGTTCAAAGATTTGCTACAAGACTAACTCCACAACTAAGAGGATTGGGATAGGGGATCTGGGGCCAGATTCACGAAAGCACTTACGAACGTTTACATCTTTCCTCAATCTTTGACGGCTTTAGTTACATTTATTAAACAGTTTACAAGCATGAAAACGTCCTATTCAACTGTTGTTATTGTTATAAACAGCCTCCTGGTGCTTCGGAGCTCATTAACTGTTTAATAATTGAAAACAAAGCCGCCAAAGATTGAAAAAGGTGTACAGGTTCGTAAGTGCTTGCGTAACTGCTTCGTGAATCTGGCCCCTGGTCCATATTACAGCACTAACAACAGTGAACCCAAGGACACTAGATCACAACATATAGAATGTTCACAGACAGACATAATGAACAACAACAACAACAACACTGCACTCTGTGTACGAACAGGACGAGACACCGCGCTTAGAATTAGGACAAAAATGCAAGTAAATGCGAGGGAGCCGGCCGGCCGAGCGGACAGCACACTGGACTTGTGATCCTGTGGTCCCGGGTTCGATCCCGGGCGCCGGCGAGAAACAATGGGCAGAGTTTCTTCCACCCTATGCCCCTGTTACCTAGCAGTAAAATAGGTACCTGGGTGTTAGTCAGCTGTCACGGGCTGCTTCCTGGGGGTGGAGGCCTGGTCGAAGACCGGGCCGCGGGGACACTAAATAGCCCCGAAATCATCTCAAGATAACCTCAAGATCTCAAGATTCCTTCAGTGTATGAAGTGAATAGGATGAATGAGCGGGTGAAAGACAGCTCCGTGTAGAGCTTCAAGTGGCGGAGCCCAAGAGCTGGAGCTGAGCCCCAAATAATCCAGCCCATCCTGTTTAGATAGTACTTTTTGTAACTATGTGCACCATAGTACAAACATTGACGTATTAAGCAGTTAGTAGAACTTTTGTACTATTCACTTCATAGTCCGAAAATTTATGCTAAACAAAAATATTCCTAGCCCTAGTATAGTACACAAATGTACTGTTTATATTAGGCCTCATATAGCGTGTATTAGGCCTAGGGAGGTTAGGTTAGGTAATGTTAGTTCGTCTTTGCCAAATTCAAAAAGTGCTTTAAAAACTATTTTCCACTTTGCAAAAGTAGAAAATCGTTTTCCGCTTTGTCTAAATTTAATAGTACCGATTTTCACTTTCTAATTGTGTTGTACGTCGGTACATGTACTATGGTCCTCATCCTGCCTATAAGTACTACCACAACACGAGGATGGGCTGGATAATGGGACAAGAAGACAGACAGACAAGGACAGGCCGTCCCCAACAAGGACAGGCCGTCCCCAACAAGGACAGGCCGTCCCCAACAAGGACAGGCCAAGGAACGCGCCTCCAAGGCCAAGGTCTGGCCTCGGAAACACTATCCGTGGTTGGTGCATCCCGTCATCCACACACACACACGCACACACACGCACACACACGCACGCACACGCGCACACACACGCACACGCAAGTTGCACAAGCTTGTTTTTTTATTTGGCAATGATTTTCCTGTTCATCATAGAAGATGGGAAGAGTTGTTATGCCTGGGGGACCATGAGCTAGCACCGAATCACAACCCATCTCACAGTCTACGGGCTATTCATGCCCGTGCCACCTCCTGGGTGGCCTAATCTTCATCAGTCAATCGCCCATCTCACAGCTGGTGAGCTTTCAACCACTCGCGACTCTTGGCTGTGATGATGCGTGTTGGTTGACGCGGGAAGCCTGTCGTCACTGTATAGTGACGTACAGTGACGCACAGTGACGTACAACTCTTGGTAATAACAAGGAACTGCTGCTGAGTTAATCTCATGGTGGCACTTAAGCAGCCGTATGATTGGAGAATTGTTCTTGGGGAAAATCTCAATCAAGTCATTAGTGTCTAGTTATTGCTCCTGTCTTGCGATAATTTGTTGACATATCGTCTGCCGCGAGATATACTTTCCAAAGACCATCTTGGTTACGGTAATTAATTGCCCCTGGACGACCTGTCGCAGCGTCAACGTCAGGCATGGTAGTTCAGTTGTCCAACCATAATCATTTGTTATTTAAGACAATTAATAACCTGAACATTCCTTGCAATAATCTGTCCCGGATGCCATTAGCATTATTTATACACATACAATCTGTTGATTGATAGATAAGAGGCGGGCCGAGGGAGCAGAGCTCAACCCCGGCAAGCACAACTAGGTGAATACAACTGCACGGGTTAACGGGTACACGGGAGGGTTGGTGCGTTGACGCACACCTGTTGGAGGTGATGCACACCTGTTGGAGGTGATGCACACCTGTTGGAGGTGATGCACACCTGTTGGAGGTGATGCACACCTGTTGGAGGTGATGCACACACAGGTAAATCAACACACAGTTGATAGTCTTAGACACTTCAGGCACCTTTCTCTTGGTAAACCTTTCACTTTACCTGTACGTCTGTGTCATTCCCCCCCCCCCCCTCTTAGTGTCCTGTCTCGAGAAGAAGCATTCCTGTGTAGTACTCTACCTTGACCCTCCAGGTAGACTGTGTGCAGTACTCTACCTTGACCGTCCAGGTAGACTGTGTGCTGTACTCTACCTTGACCCTCCAGGTAGACTGTGTACAGTACTCTACCTTGACCGTCCAGGTAGACTGTGTGCTGTACTCTACCTTGACCCTCCAGGTAGACTGTGTGCTGTACTCTACCTTGACCCACCAGGTAGACTGTGTACAGTACTCTACCTTGACCCACCAGGTAGACTGTGTACAGTACTCTACCTTGACCCACCAGGTAGACTGTGTACAGTACTCTACCTTGACCCACCAGGTAGACTGTGTACAGTACTCTACCTTGACCCACCAGGTAGACTGGGTGCAGTACTCTACCTTGACCCTCCAGGTAGACTGTGTACAGTACTCTACCTTGGCCCACTAGGTAGACTGTGTACAGTACTCTACTTTGGTTTGATCTGGTATTGTGATAGTCCACCACTGGAGGACTGCTAAAATCCTTCATATTAGTTTACTGACCAACCAACAAGTATACTTTAGACCTAAACATAGGCCAGGACTAAAGTAGAGTGTGTTTACCCCGAGAAGTAGAGCAAGCCGTGTGTGTGTGTGTACCTTGCCCTCCTTCCAAAGGTAAACTTTTGAGCAGGTCGACATGGACAACATTTCACCTCAACTCCTGTATTGATGTTGCGTTGCAGCATAATAATTCTTATCGTCATTATCGTCATCGTATGACTACGTATTAGTGCATATTTGATGAATTGTAACATTCATCACTCTTATCAAGAACCAAATTTATGAGTTTGTTGAATGATTGCAGATACTGAAGGCGTGAGGAGGTGATGTGTGGGGGTGCAGGGATTCAGAAATTGCAAGAGGGATGGGGGAGGGTGATGGGTGAATTGTGGTGGTGGGGGGGGGGGGAATTGTGGTGGTGGGGGATTGTGGAGTGGTTGAGGGAGCAACGGGGTGGGGGTGGGGGGTGTTGTGGTGGTGGGTGGAGATTGTGGTGTGTGTGGCGGGCGAGCCACGCCAACATCTCCCCGTGTGAGACTCGAGACATCAACCAACAGTATATAGTGATCCATCCCTTCGCTAACACACCTCGCACACATCAACGTTGCATAGAGAGTGTGTGTTGCACAGGGTGATGTAGGTGAGTGTATTAACCTGCTGGTCATTAAGAAAAATCCTGTCAGCTGTGAAACTAAACATCCAGTAACCTTTGGCAGCTACGGGTCGGCCCACCACAATATTTTTAATCATATTATATTTACGGTTTTAACACACACAAAAAATTTATCACGATATGAATTATATAAAGAATGATTTACACCTATAATACCTAAGTACAATATTATGCAATAGTTTCTTATACAAAATGAAGTAGGAAATATAATCGATGGTACCTAAATGGACTAGCAGGCGACCTTCGCAACTCACCCAGGACTGTCAGTGTACGTTTGACAGTCGAGGAGGGAGTGTGCTGGCCCGGCCGCGGCGTCCAGGGGCGCTTCATTACTTTACCAGTGTGTGTGTTGCGTGCGCGTGCAGGCTGCAACTTGCTCTAGAGTTGTGACACCAAGTGAGAAAACCTCGACCCAGCCGGCATAGACAGTGAGGATTACACTGGAGTGACCCCCCAGCAGGACAACATCCACAACTTGTCCTGCAGGAAACATGGAAGGTAAGCCTTGTCCAGCACGGGTCATGGCATGCAAGGTTGGCTGTCTACTCAGGTGGCTGGCGTTGGTTCGACGTTGGTCTTTGATATTGTAACCGCGGGTAGTAGAGCTGTCCGCCTGCGGTCAGGAAACCCTATATAGAGGAGGTGAACACTTGACTAAGGTGGGTACTGCGCCCAGTTACATAAGGACCATCTTGTAATTCTTGCTCTGCGTCACCGTAAGTTGCAGCGTCGCCACTCTGCGTCACCGTAAGACGCAGTGGCATCGCTCTGCGTCACTGTAGCTTGCAGTGTCGCCACTCTGCGTCACTGTAGCTTGCAGTGTCGCCACTCTGCGTCACTGTAGCTTGCAGTGTCGCCACTCTGCGTCACTGTAGCTTGCAGTGTCGCCACTCTGCGTCACTGTAGCTTGCAGTGTCCAGCGGGTGAGTGTAGGCATCTTGGTATTATGACTCGTGCGAGGTGAGAAAGTAGCTAGGCATCAGGGAACACACTCCTCCCCCGCAGTCATATAATGTGCACATTTAACCACGGGGGGATTGACACAGGAGTACCAGACCTGATAGCCGTACGAGGTATTGACCTGAACGGAGCAGTGTGTCCTGGCGGAAGTATCGAGAGGGGAAGGCTGTCATGTGTACCGTTATGGCCTATATATGTGTGTGTGTGTGTGTCCTTAGGCTAGCCTACCGGGAACACTGGTAGAGGTGAACTTAAGCAGGTTAAACATGTAGTCGTTATATATTACCCAAGAGCACTCGGAACTGTTATTGCAATTATGTTTTCAGATTTAAAGGTCGGTTGGTGCAGATGCTTGGGGGACTCTTGGCAATTTTGAAATGTTTTTTCAGTTGCTGACATTTATATATATAATGATGACACACGATGAAATAAATATATATATATATATATATATATATATATAATATATATATATATATTATTTATTTATTTATTTTAGGATAGGCTTGACCGATCATTTTGAGTTTAATTCCTAAATTCAAATTTTATAAGTATGTTGTTGAATGTAGATTATTTTTGTTGTAATGGTATTTAAGCTTGGGTGAGGAGGGGGGAGGTGAGTGTTCAAGGGAGAAGTTTTGATAGTGACATTGTGTGTGTGTTAAGTAGCCTAGCCTGGCCTGTGGCTGCACTCCTGGAGCATTGTGGTAGACTGGTCGGTGGTTCATTGTGGTAGACTGACCGGCGGTACACTGTGGTAGACTGACCGGCGGTACACTGTGGTAGACTGACCGGCGGTACACTGTGGTAGACTGACCGGCGGTACACTGTGGTAGACTGACCGGCGGTACACTGTGGTAGACTGACCGGCGGTACACTGTGGTAGACTGACCGGCGGTACACTGTGGTAGACTGACCGGCGGTACACTGTGGTAGACTGACCGGCGGTACACTGTGGTAGACTGACCGGCGGTACACTGTGGTAGACTGACCGGCGGTACAAACAATAGGTCTCACCCCGGTACAGTAACATTACATATGATCCCGGTACAATAAAATAGTTCGGCCTCAAATAAGTTGAGGCAGAACTATTTTGAGAGACGGGTGGACAGGGTAAACTGAAGGTGCCCTGTCCATCCCGTACTCTTAAAATAACGTCGCTTTTCACTCGTATGCGCGATATGGCCAAAAATGGACGTAATTTGAAATGAAATCGGCTCTCGAAAGGTGATGTACTGTCCCGTTTTCTGTTTGGAGTCCTCTGGCTTACTCGGTTAGGTTAGGAGAGGAAACTTTCAATTAACGTTTTTTCATGACTTGAAATCTTAGGAGAGCTTCCTGCCCTCCTAACCTACCAGAGGATCTTTAACTTACTGTTTTGAGGGGAAAACGAATCCAAAATGTATTTTCAATTATTTTTCATTTTCAAATTACGTTAATTTTCGGCCATATAGGCAAACGGCTAAATTCCGACGCTATCGACCCGTCCACTGGAACTGAACATAGCATTTATGACATAATCCCCTAGGGTCAGAAACTGATGTACTGAAGATAAATAGCTGCTCGCAAAATTGACGTGATGGTCCGTTTTCAACACGTTGGTCCTCTGTTAGGTTAGGTTCGGACAATTTAGGACATCAGTTTAGTGGCGTTGTGAGCGCTGAAGATGACTGGCTACTTAAGGTCGTTCAGGTCGTTCCTTACCTGATTATAGCTGGTCGGTCTCCCTCCATCATTACCGTTGGCAGTGCAGCGCCATCCTCTTTAGGCCTACCCGTATGCACGTTAGGCTTCCTCCTTTCCCCCGTCTGGTTCACAGACCTTCCCGTAAGCCTATCGCCCATTCCTGGTGGACCCGCGCGTTCTCTGCCACAAAGGACAGAACCCAACGTCCTAAACTAACCAGAATCGCGCGTACCCAAGCCACCCACCAGACCTAACCAACCGGTACATAGAAAATGTGGATTTGTTACCATAACACAGGTGGGTGATGGTGTGGTTGGCAGGTGGAGGGGGGGAAGCATTATCTGTACCCACTGGCACAGCCTGACACACAGCAAGTTGTGCCAAGTTGACAAATATAAAAACATCCAAAAATCTAAGTCGAAAAAATCAACTGGTGCTCTTGAGGCGACTCGAACCTCCGACCCTGAGAATCCCAGGGTAGGATTCTCTGGGTTGCGGGGTTGACACGTCTTAGAACGCCAGTTGATTTCACTCATTAATATATATCACGTGAGTGCGGTTTCTCTGTGTACATAGAGAAACATTTAGAGCATTAGGCCTATACACTTCATAAGAAACAAAATGGTTAAGGTTCAAAGATTTGCTACAAGACTAATTCCACAACTAAGAGGATTGGGATAGGGGATCAGGGGCCAGATTCACGAAAGCACTTACGAACGTTTACATCTTTCCTCAATCTTTGACGGCTTTAGTTACATTTATTAAACAGTTTACAAGTATGAAAACGTCCTATTCAACTGTTGTTATTGTTATAAACAGCCTCCTGGTGCTTCGGAGCTCATTAACTGTTTAATAATTGAAAACAAAGCCGCCAAAGATTGAAAAAAGGTGTACAGGTTCGTAAGTGCTTGCGTAACTGCTTCGTGAATCTGGCCCCTGGTCCATATTACAGCACTAACAACAGTGAACCCAAGGACACTAGATCACAACATATAGAATGTTCACAGACAGACATAATGAACAACAACAACACTGCACTCTGTGTACGAACAGGACGAGACACCGCGCTTAGAATTAGGACAAAAATGCGAGGGAGCCGGCCGGCCGAGCGGACAGCACACTGGACTTGTGATCCTGTGGTCTGTCACGGGCTGCTTCCTGGGGGTGGAGGCCTGGTCGAAGACCGGGCCGCGGGGACACTAAATAGCCCCGAAATCATCTCAAGATTCCTTCAGTGTATGAAGTGAATAGGATGAATGAGCGGGTGAAAGACAGCTCCGTGTAGAGCTTCAAGTGGCGGAGCCCAAGAGCTGGAGCTGAGCCCCAAATAATCCAGCCCATCCTGTTTAGATAGTACTTTTTGTAACTATGTGCACCATAGTACAAATATTGACGTATTAAGCAGTTAGATAGTAGAACTTTTGTACTATTCACTTCATAGTCCGAAAAATTTAAACTAAACAAAAATATTCCTAGCCCTAGTATAGTACACAAATGTACTGTTTATATTAGGCCTCATATAGCGTGTATTAGGCCTAGGGAGGTTAGGTTAGGTAATTTTAGTTCGTCTTTGCCAAATTCAAAAAGTGCTTTAAAAACTATTTTCCACTTTGCAAAAGTAGAAAATCGTTTTCCGCTTTGTCTAAATTTAATAGTACCGATTTTCACTTTCTAATTGTTATACGTCGGTACATGTACTATGGTGCTCATCCTTCCTATAAGTACTACCACAACACGAGGATGGGCTGGATAATGGGACAAGACACAGACAAGACAGACAAGGACAGGCCGTCCCCAACAAGGACAGGCCGTCCCCAACAAGGACAGGCCGTCCCCAACAAGGACAGGCCGTCCCCAACAAGGACAGGCCGTCCCCAACAAGGACAGCCGTCCCCAACAGGACAGGCCAAGGAACGCGCCTCCAAGGCCAAGGTCTGGCCTCGGAAACACTATCCGTGGTTGGTGCATCCCGTCATCCACACACACACACACACACACACACACACACACACACACACACACACGCACACGCACACGCACACGCACACACGCACACGCACACGCACACACAAGTTGCACAAGCTTGTTTTTTTTATTTGGCAATGATTTTCCTGTTCATCATAGATGGGAAGAGTTGTTATGCCTGGGGGACCATGAGCTAGCACCGAATCACAACCCATCTCACAGTCTACGGGCTATTCATGCCCGTGCCACCTCCTGGGTGGCCTAATCTTCATCAGTCAATCGCCCATCTCACAGCTGGTGAGCTTTCAACCACTCGCGACTCTTGGCTGTGATGATGCGTGTTGGTTGACGCGGGAAGCCTGTCGTCACTGTATAGTGACGTACAGTGACGCACAGTGACGTACAACTCTTGGTAATAACAAGGAACTGCTGCTGAGTTAATCTCATGGTGGCACTTAAGCAGCCGTATGATTGGAGAATTGTTCTTGGGGAAAATCTCAATCAAGTCATTAGTGTCTAGTTATTGCTCCTGTCTTGCGATAATTTGTTGACATATCGTCTGCTGCGAGATATACTTTCCAAAGACCATCTTGGTTACGGTAATTAATTGCCCCTGGACGACCTGTCGCAGCGTCAACGTCAGGCATGGTAGTTCAGTTGTCCAACCATAATCATTTGTTATTTAAGACAATTAATAACCTGAACATTCCTTGCAATAATCTGTCCCGGATGCCATTAGCATTATTTATACACATACAATCTGTTGATTGATAGATAAGAGGCGGGCCGAGGGAGCAGAGCTCAACCCCGGCAAGCACAACTAGGTGAATGCAACTGCACGGGTTAACGGGTACACGGGAGGGTTGGTGCGTGGACGCACACCTGTT